GGGGGGGCGGGAGAAAATTAAAGAGTGGCGAGGGCGAAGAATTGATGTTTACAATGCAGCAGAATCAAAGATTTCTCCGCTCACCAACAACCCGAACCTAAATTAAATTTAAAAAACCCAGTTCAGTGTCGTATTTTATCAGAGAGCGATTTTTTAACCCTCGTCTTTTGAAGGGCCCTGGAATGAGTTCAGGGAACTCCCAGAGACGTCTGACGAATGAGTTTTGGAGAAAACCTCTTGCTGCCCCCCCCCCCCTCCAAAAAGAAAGAAACCCATACCTTGTATCTTTCCTACCCCCTCCCTTTCTGAGCATTGTTTTTGTATTCGCATACTTAACTTTATTTTGTATACTTCAATGTTGGACGGTTCAAAATCGACTCATGAAGAAAACAAAAGAGTTGTGGCTTAGAACGTGAAGCTGACGAGCAAAGGGTTAAAACAGAAAAGGCAATAAAGAGGTGACGACAGAAGAGAATGGACCCAAGGTTTCATTTAGTGTACTCAAAGGGGAAAAAAGCATCTCTTAAGAATGCTGGAAGCATGAAGAGGGTAGGGGTCGCACGAGGCTATGTTGATAAAAGTACTCCATACTCAATATACGATTTTGAGCCTGGGTTTTTATCAAGCCAGCCGGGCACATGGTTCCTCCAAGGTAAACGGCGATAGCAGCTCTGTAAATATGTCGAGGTCTCAATCCTCGTGTTTGGCTTGGGCCGAGCAATCAATAGGGAGAGGACCGTGTAAACACACCCCCAAATACTGATCCTGAGGATTTATTTTGACCCGAGACTTTATGCACACAGCACAATCACACACTGGCGCACGCACTCTCAGACAAGGACAGGGCCTAGCACACACACTGGAAGCTGCAGATGAGGGTGGTTCTCGCCCCTAGTTTGCCAGACGTTCTTCTTTGGTGCGGCTCGAGATTTTCCTGCTCTCGGCTTGCTGGCCCCACAGAGAATTTCCGTTTTTTCCACTTCTGTTCCCTGCCAAGATTGTCAGTTGGTTTTCCTTGTCGCCCGGACCGCTTCCAGAATGTCTGGATCTCCAAACTGTGCGGTATGGCATAGACGGTTCTGAGGAATAATACACTCGTGGGATTTCTTGGCTCAAAATTTGAAGGTGTGATGATTCATGTAGTAAACGTTTAAACGCATAATAACGACAGCGTGTTTTTTCTGTAACCTTAATCATTGTTCAAATTTCAAGCAATGAGAACAATTGCTTAGATGGTCATTGAACAGGCCAGTATAATACTGTGAGCGGACTTTTGAAGTTAAAGGACTACATAGTTTTAATCAACATCAGTATAATTCAAGATCATGAGAGTAGGTGTGAATTCTCAGAAAACGATGAAATGCTACTATACTCCTCTATACATTACTGAATAGGCTTCTTTTTTCGTCAGTGATAGCAGTCTCACGCCACATCTAATAGGTTATAGAAACAAATAGCCTTGGTGAGTATAGCCAAGCAAAAGTCTCGTTATTACACACTTTTGTGTCTAAATACTGTCACCTTTTGACATGAATACTTCTTCTTACATAATTATACACAAGAGAGTCATTTGGCTCCCTTTCTGCGATGACATGGGCTTCAAAACTGAACCTCCAGGATAAACGATGAGTTGATTTCTCCTGTCATTCCTGAGTACAGGTCCTTGAACTGGCACAATAACAACATTGGATACTTACCGGATGTGACGTGTATCAAAAGGAGGACAGTGACTACTCGAAAGGTGAGGCTCTAATCATATTTTTTTTACTCTTCTCTGTTTACATTATGAGAAGAAAGGTGTAATTGTAGAAACAAGTAGATACTCTTTTAATTGATGGTTTATCATACAAAGAACAGATAAAGTCAGGTGCTGTGATTTATTTATCCAATTTACTGAAATATAAAGCCCATAGGCCAATGCTCTCGATTTTGGGGCTACGTCGTCTTGTTTTGTAACAATTCACGTACTCGTAGGCAGATAAGTTCTTTGTAATGGGAACAAATCTTAATACATATTGTCTGAAATACAAAGACAACATAAAACATAAACTCGTAAGCACAGATGTGTAACTGTACATATGAGACAACAGATACACCATGTATATTATGCACATATGCGCTTATAATTTGTACTTATGAATTATTATGTATAATAATATATCATCATTATTAAATTTGCATTTAATTTATATTA